AAGCAGCCCAGAAGGTTTGGGAGGGCAAGCCGGCCTCGTGTGGAGCAGAGCAGCCTTTCCCCCGTGCCGCCTCCTGATTCTGCCAGGACAACAAAGCGGCTTTTGTTCTTTATTTATTTATTTTATTTATTTATTTTATTTATATCCCGCCTATCTAGTCAATAGACCACTCTAGGCGGCTTACAACAGGGATAAAACAATAACTAAGACAAGTTATATAAAAACGCATTCAACAATTAGATCAAACACAAGGAAAGAAAAAAGAGGGGAATCAGAAATTGGCTGGGGGGGGCGGGAAGGCCTGCCGGATGTTTATATCAAGATGTCATGGGGAAATCATGCGGTAATGTTAATATCTCTTTAATGAGATGTGGGTGCCAAACATGGATAGTTAAGTAGAAAAGGATGCCATCCAGGAATAACACAGACTGCTGGAGCTGTTCTCAATATGTTCCAGGACATCAACTGGGACAAAAAACTGGCAGAGAAAACCGGGAAGGCCTGCCGGATGTTTATATCAAGATGTCATGGGGAAATCATGCGGTAATGTTAATATCTCTTTAATGAGATGTGGGTGCCAAACATGGATAGTTAAGTAGAAAAGGATGCCATCCAGGAATAACACAGACTGCTGGAGCTGTTCTCAATATGTTCCAGGACATCAACTGGGACAAAAAACTGGCAGAGAAAACATGCTATCAGGACGTGATAAATCAGAAAAATCTATGTCTAAAGCAGGGCATGGAAAAAGGCACCTTGAAGCAATTGTGTGTGAAACTAGCAGCAGTCTAGATTGAAAGTTGGGCACTTCATGAAACATAATTCTGATTTTGTGCTGTGTTGTAAACTTACTTCAAGTATAATTTAGCTGTTTGAGCCATGTTTGTGCCATTTCAAATGCTGAATGTTCCGATGGGGAATGTTCTAAAATGTCAAAGAGTCTGAAATTTTGCTGTCTTACAGCTGATAAGTGATCTGGTTGTCTTCCTTGTTAAGAGACTGAACAAATTAAAATGAAAGAAAATAAAGGAGGCCAGCGTTGTACTTTTTTTTAAAGCTGGAAAGTGAATCCATAGAGGTTTTCAGGATGTTTAGAAGATTTAGAGAGTGAAACCATGTAATATAGTGATAGGCAGATGTTTTCCATATGTTGTCAGCATGAAACTTCAATCATTTCAGGACCGGCTTGTACAATGTTTCATGTTATAGATTTCTCTGTGAAGCCTGGCTTTGAATTAAACTGTGCACGCACGTCTTCAAACACACTCGCAGAACTGTGTGAGGATATTTTGTCTTCCTTGTTCTCTTTCATTTTCCATGTCCCCCCATCTCTGAAAATGGAATCTTAGCTGGTTATATTTCAGTTTACCTTGATGTTGAATATATATATATTTTAAAACTGAATATTGATTCCAGATTTCTAATACACATTTCTGAAATCTACTAAAAATGCAGAGGCGGGGGGCAATTAAAATGCAATGGATTTCCTTCCTTTTTGTGCTTATTTAATTCATCTTCTTGCAGTGTGGTTTAGTATTCAATTAAATACCCAGATTTTGGAACATTCAAGCCACTTTTGAAACATGCCATGTTATCTCATTTAGTCACATTCTGCATTAAATAATGTTTTGATTTCCTGTTGCAATACGTATTTCCCTTTTGTTGCACCCATATGTTTTAACATAAATGTTGCTTCCCACAGATATTATTCCCAGAAAGCATGGGTAGTACAATCTTGATAATGTATTGCTTTATCTATTTAGCTTGAGAGATATTTTCAGAGGGGAAGCGGCAGAACATTTGTAAACATTACTTTGTTTCATTTTCATTTTTTTAAAAACAGGGAATTTCGTGTTGCTACGTGTATTGCCTTCGTTATATGAAAAGCAGTCACATCCAATTAACAGCCATCTGAAAGAACTTGTAGCATTGATGTCTCACCTAGAGCAGCCTGAACAGCACCATCTTTTACAGCTTTTGCTAATAATTGCAAAGAAAAAACAGCCAGAGGTAACATTTATTAATTTCAAGTATTTTCAGCTCACTGAATGTTCCATTTCATAGAAACATTGAATCATAGGATTGTGGAGTTGAAAGGGGGCTATAAGGCCATCAAAGCATTTCATAGAATCATAGGATGGTGGAGTTGAAAGGGGGATATAAGGCCATCGAATCCCTGCTCAATGCAGGAATACAAATCAAAGTACATCTAACAGATGGTTGTCTATTTTTTTCTTGAATACCTCCAGCATTGGAGTGGTCACCACAACATGAGATAATTGATTCCATTGTTGTACTGCTCTAACACTTAGGATTTGTTTTCCTGATATTCCACTGAAATCTGGCTTCCTGTAACTTGAGCTCATTATTACATGTTCTACACTATGGGACGATTGAGAACAGGTCCTACTTGACAATCTTTCAAGTATTTGAAAAATGCCATTATATCTCCCTTCAGTCTTCTTTTTGAATTTTGTTTCTGTCTTCTAGGATATTAGCTATTCCACCAAATTTTATTGCATCCACAAACTTGATCAGCATTCCCTGAATCCCCTTGACCAAGTCATTAATAAATAGGTTGAAGAGCACCTGGCCCAGGAGTGAGCCTTGTAGTACCCGGCCTGTTACCTCATCCCAGTCCCAATTTGAAAAGAAGCCATTGATAATCACTCTCTGAATACAAATCTGTAACCAGCTGTGTTATCCACCTGACAGTTGTTCTGTCCAATCCACACCTAGTTAGCTTTTTTTATCAGAATATCCTGGTTTCCTTTTGTCAAGAATATCATGGTTTCCTTTTGTCGAAAGATTTGCTGAAACCATCTATAGCATTCTCACTGACTACCTGGGAGGTTACACAATAAAAAATGGAAATAAGATTAATCTGACAGGATCTGTTCATGACAAATCCATATTAGCTTCTAGTTATTACTATATTGTTTTCAAGGTGCTTGAAGAGTAACCACTTTATAATGTGAACTGGACTTTTTTTTTTAGATTGACTAGTCTGTAGTTCCCAGTTTCCTCCTTTTTTGTTCTTTTTGAAGGCAGGGACAATGTTAGTCCTCCTCCAATCATCTGGCACTTCACCCATCCTCCATGATTTCAAGAAAATAATAGACAGCGGTTCTGAGTGTTCTTCTGCCAATTCCTTCAATACTCTTGGATGCAGCTCATCTTGCCCTGGAGTTTTTAACTTATTCAAAGTAATAAGGTACTCCTTGATTATTTTTTTATCAATCTCATGTTGCAACCCCCACCTTTCCACTTGTACTTCACATTTGCCTGGAGGATCATAGACTATCTTTTGGGGAAAGACTGAGGTAAACTGGGAACTGAGCAATTCTGCCTTTTCTTTGTCATGTTTTATCATTTTTCCATCCTCACTGAGTAGATGTGCCACTATTTCTTTTCTCTTTCTTTTGCTGCATACATACCTAAAGATTGTTGTTTTATTGCTTTTAGCATTCCTTGCTTGTTGTTTAGTCATTAAGTCGTGTACAACTCTTCGTGACCCCATGGACCAGAGCATGCCAGGTCCTCCTGTTTTCCACTGTCTCCCAGTGTTTGGTCAAATTCGTGCTGGTAGCTTTGACGACACTGTCAAACCATCTCATCCTCTGTCGTCACCTTCTCCTCTTGCCTTCACATTTTCCCAACATCAGGGGCTTTTCCAGGGAGTCTTCTCTTCTCATGAGATGGCCAAAGTATTGGAGCCTCAGCTTCAGGATCTGTCCTTCCAGTGAGCACTCAGGGTTGGTTTCCTTTAGAATTGATAGGTTTGTTCTCCTTGCAGTCGAGGCGACTCTCAAGAGTCTCCTCCAACACCACAAGTCAAAATCATCAATTCTTTGGCAGTCAGCCTTCTTTATGGTCCAGCTCTCACTTCCATACACAACTACTGGAAAAACCATAGCTTTGACTATGCAGACCTTTGTTGGCAAGGTGATGTCTCTGCTTTTTAAGATGCTGTCTAGGTTTGTCATTGCTTTCTTCCCAAGAAGCAGGAGTCTTTTAATTTCGTGGCTGCTGTCACCATCTGTAGTGATCAGGGAGCCTAAGAAAGTAAAATCTGCCATTGCCTCCATATCTTCCCCTTCTATTTGCCAGGAGGTGATGGGACCAGTGGCCATGATCTTAGTTTTTTTGATGTTGAGCTTTTGGCCACTTTTTGCACTGTCCTTTTTCACCCTCATTAAGAGGTTCTTTAATTCCTCCTCACTTTCTGCCATCAGAGTGGTATCATCTGCATATCAGAGGTTGTTGATATTTCTTCCGGCAATCTTAATTCTGGCTTGGGATTCCTCCAGTCCGGCCTTTCGCATGATGTATTCTGCATATAAATTGAATAAGCAGGGGGACAATATACAGCCGTGTCGTACTCCTTAACTCCATCTTATTCTAAGCTTTTGAATTTCTACTGCGCTCCCTGCAATTCTTTCTGCTTGTCTATACTCTTTCGTTGTGACCTGACGTATATATCCACTTCCACTTTCCATATGTGTCCTTTTAAAAAAATTCTCAGGTCCTCTGTGAGCTTTTGGTGAAGCCACATTGGTCTTTTTTGCTGTCTTCCCACACTGTTTGCTTGTTGAAATTGTTTGTAGTTGTTTCTTTAGAATTTTCTTTTCAAGAGATGCCCTCTCATATTGGACTCATTTCCTTGTCAGGATCTCCTGCCATTGGACGTTAGTTAGCATTGTTCTGAGTTTATTAAAATTGGCTTTCCTAAAATGCTGTACACACCTGCAACTACAATCTGATTTGGTTTCTTTTGAAATCGAAAACTCTAGTAGAACATGGTCACTTTCCTCAGAGTTGCCCTTACTGCCACGTCTAAAGGTTAAAATGTTTTCACACTTTGAGTCCTTTTTAAAGTCAAGTTCAGATATATAATTGATAGAATATGAGGAACCAAAATAAATCAATATTTTACTCTACAGAAATATTCCATGTTCTGTATATAGTCTACTCAGCTACTCAAGTAGGATATTCTTGAGAAATAGAGTAGTGTAACAAAGTACAAGAATAGGTAATTTATTAAATACACAACACTCTGAATTTTTTGCAAAAAAACAAAACCTGGAATTTAATATCCATCTCTCACTACTGTCAAGGGAACTTTCTCAAAATATATAGTTGCAGAGGAAATATAATTCTTTCTATAAATGAAACTTTCCAGCCTGATGAGGCCCACTATAACTTTTCTTCGGAGCCTCAGTCATTTGACACCTTTTCAACATAATTCCCATTGTCTTGTTAATGTCAATTTGGTTTACTATCGGGGCTCTTTGGAATTGTTCTCTAAAAAATGGGATCTGACATTTTAAAGGTATTTCTTAAAAGTCAAGTAACAAGAAATGTCAGGGAGTGGTGTGATAGAGCAAAAAATAAAATAAAAAACAGAACCCCCTGACATAGACCTGCAGAAAGAATTTGGATATAAATCTCTGGCCATCCATGAAACTCATTGGGACTGAAACAATTTACTATCCTTTAGCATAGCCTCCCTCAAGAGGTTGTTGTGTGAATGAAATGAAATAACATAAAATGCAAACCTCATCTGAACTAGCTCAAAATGTTTGATCAAAAGGTAGCACTGGCAACATTTATGAGCAACTGCAGCTTAAGCTCTTGGCTCCAGCTTCTACCCATGAAAAGACAGTTTTATTATTCCCAGGAATCCCACTAAAAGAATCAAAAGTCAGCAGCTGTTGTTCTTATAAATTGGAGGAACCATAGAATGGACTATTTATACAGACTCAGCAAGAGATCAGCATTTGGCACAGCCTCAAAAGTCATTTACTACTAGGAGAGGGCTTAGAACCTACAACCCCATCATGCAACCAATGCAACTATTCAAAACAGCTCACTCAGAAGATGGCTAACATTTTTTCTGTCCTTAAAACAAAATTTGCAAGATGCAGAGATGGGTTTAATAGCTGCGTAAATAAAGGCGAAACATGAGGCAGAAATACACATGGAAGTTCAGAGAGTAGGAGAAAAGCAAGAATACTTTTAAGAAAAACTTGATGTGTAATTGTTCAGTGCATTGTAACTTGTGATTTTGAATGTGCCCTAAGATATTGGAGGCAGATGATTATAGCTGCACAATAAAACAGCTATGTTATTCTGCAGTAGAGCAAATCAACATTCTACACGGCAATTCTAAAAATGAGAACATCCCAAACAACAACAAAAACACATTTGAAACTAGACTTCAGATCAGCACCAAATTTGGCACAGATGTAGCAGGCAGTCTGATCTCACTCTGTGCCACACATGGGGAGGTTTGGGCAAAGGGTTTGTGAGTTATGATTTTTTTTAAAGTGAAATGATTTAAAACCCGTCTCCTAGTACAGAAACAAGCAACTCTACATGTCTGCAGATTTAAAATAGCTCATACAAATTGAAAAGACCAATCTTACTTATCTTGAAACAGAATGGTTGACACCGTCCACTTTTTTTATTTGGAAAGAAGCCAGTCTGTAGGGGCTCAAATACTGGTCCTCAAAAAGGCCTTTCAATAGGGAAAAACTGTGATTTCTCAAGACACTGAATCAACATGGAAAATGCTTGCCAGCAAGAACTTTGAAAAGTATATATTGTTGCAGTTTTGTGCCCTGAAAACAGAGATGTATGGAGAATTTAAGGTAAGTACCACATTCTTCTGTGTATAAGATGATACTTTTATCTAAAATCTTTAGACTAAAAATTGAGGGTTGTCTTATACATGGAAGTAAGGGGGGAAAGGGATCAAAGTGCTACAGGATTGCAGCCCTTTGATCCTGCAGCCCTTTAATCGCTGCTTTTCCTGCCACTTCAAAGCAGCTATGAAAGGGCTGCAGGATGAAAGGGCTACAATACTGCAACCCTTTCATCACTGCTTTTCCCCTCCACTTCTGCAGCCCTTTGATCCTGCTTTCACGGGGCTTAGGAAGTGGAGAGGGAAAGCAGCGATCAATTTTCTGATTTGGGGTTAGAAAAGTGGGGGTCATCTTACACATCGGGTTGTCTTATACACAGAAAAATATGGTAAAGTTCACAAAAACAGTCAAAAGACAGGTTTTCTTGAAAGAATAAAAAAAAAATCTCACACACTTGCTTTAAAGACCGTAATGAAGTGATAATCCTCCAGGATGTTTTGTCATGTATTTCCAGGGAATGAGCATACAGTTTTGTAAAACATATTTAAAATATTTCTCCATCACAAAAACACAGAGCAGTTGTGTTTGTCCCAGCCTTGAGTGCTCTCAGCAAACATTTTCTCGAGATTTCTGGAACCATGCTCCTGACACAAATATTCAATCGTGAAATCAGCTCCAAGTCTGAGGAAATCTGAACTTTTGACACTGTGAGTCAAGACCCAATAGGCTGACTCACAGGAGTTCTACTACTCTCAAAGTGACACCAAACAAGGGAAAATCCCAGATTCTGGAAGCTGATTCCTTTTTTCACCAGTTAACCACTTCTCAACCAAACACAAAGCAGTTGTAGGGATGTTCTCTAACAAGTGTGTATGGTAGTGAGCACAAGATTGTGCCTTGTAGACTATATTGACTGCTGTCGCTTGTGTTGTCAACATTCAGGCTGCCCTTTGCTATGTTGAGGTCTGCAACCTTTTTTCCTGCTGTCAACACAGACACTATTTCCTGGCATTTTTAATCATAGATACAGAAGCAAAATATCATAAACCAGAGGTTTTTTTAGAATTGGATTTAATTGTTCTCTCATCCCAATAACAGAGGGTCAGGGTGCCAAACTATAGTAGTTCCACATTTGAGGAGTTCCTCAGCAAAGCATTTTCTGAAGTTGGGATGAAAAATTACTTCCTTTTAGGTGGACAAGATTGAGTCAAGCCTAGCTGTTCCACTTCCTTTCCTTCTTGCTATGAAATCATCCTACTTCCCTCTTTTTTTCCATTTTGAACATTGCATATAGGTTTCTGCATCTGGAGGCATTATATAAATGAGCCTAATGCATATTGCTAACTGTTTATGTATATTTCTGTGGTTTATTCTTCAAACCACTGGTTTCTCTTAATCACAAGCAGAATTCACCATGTGCTTCTCGTGACATGTATGTCTTGCATAAAAATTCAAATTATGTATTTAAATTACGGTATGAAAGGCTGATTGAACTGTTTTCACACAGTGTTCCTATATATTATTGCGCAGTGATGGAAATGCAATGTTTAGTAAGCTATAATTTTTCAGAACTACGTAAAAATCCATGTCACATACTGCCAGCATGGTTTCATAAAGACATCTCAAATATCCAAAATTTTGATTTTTGATAGATACGGCAATGGCATGGTGCTTATTTCTGTTATTGCCAAGGATCTGATTCCTATCCTCTGTAAATCTGCATGTTTTATTTGCCTCATATACACGGTTGCTGACTTAAACTATCTGAGAGATTAGCTGCTTAATTTCATTTTTTGCTCCAGGCATTCGATCTGGGATTTTGCAGATTCCTAGGTGACAGGAGAATTTCTGTTGTTCTTTCATTTACTGTGTCACCAGGGGCCTTAGATCAAATTTCTCTTTAAATCAACAAAACTTCATCCTAGTCTAAGGGGAGAAACCTGAGAATTTTGTAGGTTTCTTTTTAACACACTGAAGAATTTCCTTAATTATGAAAGGCTGAATCTTTGAATGTATAACATCAGGCTGCAATCTACTCATGTGCCTTGTATAACTGAACTTGCATTAGGTCACTTGAGACTTCTGTATAAACATAGAACATTTATGCATAAATGGATAAGTCTCTTTACTTCCTCTGTGTTTTGTAGGTGCTCAAAGAATGCATTCCATCTCTTATTGGTCACCTAAGAGATCCCCATCATGATGACATCATTTTAGATATACTGATAGAAATATCAGACTGTGAACCAAAGCTACTGGCCAATTTGCTTCCTACACTGAAAGAGATTGGGGAGAATTTCCCAAGTCTGACTGGACAATTGGCAAAGATCTATGGAGCTGTAGGACACATTGATGAGGTATGGAAACTATTAAGCATAAGTAATACTTTTTAATAATCTTGTGGTTGGCTGCCAGTAGTGCTAATATAAAAGTACACTAGTTTGTTGCCAGCTACTAGGCGTCCATGGAAATGGAGAATAGTTGCTGAGTAGAGCATCTCTTGGGGAAAAAAAGTGTATGGCCTGACCTAGCAATTAACTAAGATCATAATCTGGGGTGAAACAGTAAGCCCAAGACCCACTGGAATTAATGGAATGTGTTAAAGGTATCCTAAATCCTAAAAGCGTGGCCAAGGTCCTCTTCTAATCAAGTTGTTTTCATTCTACCTTCTCAGATCATAGTTATTGGCAAATATGGCTCTGAATATCTAATGATATACAAGTCAACAACCAGGAATCTCTAGTTGTACATGTCTAATAGACATGCATTTATTTATTTATTTATTTGTTTGATTTTATTTGATTTTTACCCTGCCCCTCTACACAACGTCTACTCGGGGCGGCTTACATAGGTTAAAACACAACAAGATAATATATATAAAAACAATTAATTTTAAATTTTTAAACAATACATTTCCAAGATGGCAAGACTCAAACAAGGAAGAAAAAGAAAACACTTAATTGACTGGAGGGAAGGCCTGTTTAAACAACCAAGTTTTCAACTGGTTTTTGAAAACACCCAGCGAGGGTGGCAGCCGAATTTCAGTGGGGAGAGTGTTCCACAGCCAAGGGGCCACCGCAGAGAAGGCCCAGTTTCTTGTTTTTCCCTTCCGGGCCTCCCTCGGCATCAGCCCCCTCAGCTGTCTCTGCTGGCTGTGTCAGGGGATTCAGGTAGATCTGGGTGGAAGAAGACAATCTGCCAAATATTGAGGTCCCAAACCGTTTAGGGCTTTATATGTAATCATTAACACTTTGAAGTCTATGAGGAAATGGATGGGCAACCAGTGCAAGGCAGCCAGAGTGGGGGAGATATGCTGGTGTTTTCTCACCCCACTAAGAAGCCTGGCTGCCACATTCTGGACCACTTGAAGTTTCCGCATCAGCCTCAAAGGCAGCCCCACGTAGAGTGCATTACAATGATCTAATCTCGAGATTACGAGCGCATGGACTAGAGTAGTGAGCCCCCCCCATCAAGATACGGTCACAGCTGGGCAATCCGCCACAGGTGAAAATAGGTGGAGCGGACCACGGACACCACCTGGGTTTCCATGGTAAGTGCAGGGTCCAGATGTATCCCCAAGCTGCAAACCTCACTCTTTGTGGCAAGGGTCGTCCCCCCAAAAGAAAGGGAGTTACCTATGCTGCTAATGGAAGGGCTGCACACCCTCAAGACCTCCGTCTTGATAGGTTTCTGTCCATCCAGGTCAAGTTTTTAATTGTAACTGCCTTGGCACATTTTACTGGGAATCTTATAGGCTGTGCCAATGTGTAATTTATTTTCATACAGTGACATTGTTGTACTAGTGGAAGAAGCCAGGCTGCTGTTCCATAAATAATATGCAGAGTCACCACTTATGAAAGGGAGAAAGATTAAATCACTGATTATGAGTAATATGTTCTTTCTGTCCAGTGCACTTGAATGTCAGGAAATGCATAACAAGCCTCACATCCTGGAATCTGAGCAGGGTCCATTTTTCACAGAGGACATTTTTGTGCTTGTGTGGTCAAATTCAGAGGGGTCTTTTGAAACCCAAGGGCCTGTTTGGTTTCATGATCATGTAAGGCAGTGGGATAACACTCCTTAAGGCGTTTAGTGCCTTCGGTGAGGGCAGAAGAGGGCATTCTCTACTGATGCCCCTAAGCGGTGGAAATTGTTCTCCCCCCCCCTCCCTCATAGATTGATGTCAACATTCTCTTTATCTGGTCAGTTGACCATTTATGTCATGGTCTCTTAGAATAGCCACAGGAAAAAATGTGTTCAATAATCCTCCCTTATTTTCTCTCTTCCTGTTTGTGTCCAAAAGATCTTATTTAGATATAAGCTTTGAATTCATTTAGCACAATTCCTCACTGCCTCAGTCACCTCTCTCCCTCTTAAACTCCCCATTCTCTGTTTTAAAAATCAGCCTGTCTAAACCATCTCTCCACCCACCAGTCTGCTCCAAAAACCTAACCAGCACTCAGCTCCTTTTGTTTCTCCCAGCCATTCAGAACCATTCTTAGCAACATTCCATGATCCCCACCCTTCCTTCCCATCACATACTTACCAAACCAATGAATTTCAAAACAATACGGTTAACCATTACCATATAAACAACACATCTAAACATAAGTGGGCATGACAGAACTAGCCCTCTTTCTCTATATGTATACTGTTGTTCCTCAAGTCCTTTCTCTTCAAGCAGTTTTTTTCTCAGAAACTGGCTATTTAAGGGTGTGTGTTGTCCCCTGCTTAAAGTTTTATATTGTTTGTAATTGTGAAATGCCCTTGGCCTTCTCAAGGAGAAGTCTGGGGTGTAAATATTATTTTATTCATTCATTAAGTGGGGTGCTGCTCAACCTCAGGCTCACTCTGTCCATAGCCACCTCCTCTTTCCTGTCTCCATACTAGAGGCAGAAAGTATCCATACCTGTCTGCTTGCATCTATGCTGGTTTATGTGAGTATTCCTTTATGTATGCATATGAATACTGTATCTACTTTTACTCCTGACTCTGCCCACCTTTGGCCCTTGCACTTTCTGCCCCACGAGGAGGAGTGGACAGCAGCCACCATTGGCCCAAGGGTATTTGCGTAAGTATTTCTGCTCCCTCCTGGAAGCTCACCTTTATCCTCCCAATACTGAACTGGCTCCAAAATCAGGTGCACAGCCATCAGTGTGAACAATTTCATGAAGTGGAAGCATCAGGAGGGGGGAAAGGCTGTATCATTGACATTGCATGCATGGTTTCTTCATTTGAGTTTTGGCCACTGTTGACAACCATTAGGCTCTTACAGCCTCTTAATTCAACCCCTGGGTTGGATTTCCCAGTTTACTGGTTGGCATCAGTGTCACAGTTACTTCGGAGCAATACTTTAAGCATGGTTCTATTCAAGAGTACCAGTCCAGCTTATAGAACCAGATTTACTGCGGTGAGTTTTAGAAGATTTTACAGCAGGCAAATCTGCTTTTCCAAAGCAGGAGGAACCACACATAAGTGACAGTCTTCAAACCCAATGCTACATATGTTTATTTCAAGAATTCCAGTATTCCCATAGGTTAGCTCCCTGGCTCTCCTATTTCAAAAAATCTTTCTTAGTCCTCTGGTTCATTATTTTCTTTTTCCAAGTGGCAACCAGAACACCTACATTCCCAATTTTTAACTCTTGTTCCATTCTGGCTTCTAACATGCAAGCTGACACATCTTATCTGGCTGGCTATTTATTTGAAGTGTGCCCTGCGTTTCTCACAACCAGGATGGACCAGAGGTAGCTGACAAGGAATTTTAGAAAACAAGTATTAAAACAACAAAAAATACAGTTACGGTATTTATAATAGTTTTTAAAACTCAACATAATAATCCTTTTTTAAAACCTTAAAACGTATTTAGAAACACAGTTAAGAGGAAGGTGCTAAGAATTAGAACAGATCCCTGCGGTTTGTCAGGAATGTTGTCCTTGGAACTTTAACCTAAAGGTGTGGAAGATGTAATACTTCCCTAAGAAAGTAAAAGAAAGCAACCCATTAACTGCCTGCCTGCAGAAGTGCCCTAGAAGATCCTTCATGGAAGCACTGTGTTCTAAAAATATGAAATATTTTCCCCTTAGTGATACCCTCTACAGTCTATGAGAATGCAACATTATTGTGTGTAAGAAATTCATGTTAACAGTGCTGTTTCATGCAATCTGTCTCAGAGCACATTCTGCCGTCTGACAGTTAAATGCTGTGTTGCAGATTCATGCAGAGATCTCTTGAGCATCCTCATCAAGGCACTCCGGGAAGCACTAGTGACCTAGATCTGACCTGCAACAGGAGAAGTGTAGCATGTGTATTGCCACATTGTGCTTTTCCTCAAGGGCCATTGTCTGAACCAGAACAAATGGTTTGTGTAACATGCTCAGATGATTTTTATATGAATGCCTGTGACAACCATTCTGAAGCCTTATAAAGTGTTTTTGGAATGTAACAAAACCCTGACATCTTACTCTTTAGCAGAGTAAATCTGCAACAATACATCTTAGCTTTCCATAATGGAACACATTTTTGTAACATTTTTACATTCTATGGCATCCTCTAGAGTCATGTCTACTCGGTTACAAAATAACAAATAAACAGAATGTGTATTGATTTCTCAACAGTTTTTAATTGGTCCATACTATGTTTTATGCTCTAAAGATAAGCCATGAAAAAGGGAAAAAAATCATAACATGGCACTTGCTGGCTGAAATCCTGTTCTTAGTGTAATATGTCACAACTAGAGAAGGCCCGTTGAAATGATGGAACATACGAAAGAGTTGACTCCCCAAATCCCACTGATTTAATGGGCCTTTCTCTAGATGTGACCTGCTGCACTACTGCTTATGCTGCAGATGACCATTGGGTTTAGAAAGAATAATGTGTGATGAACCATTTGGTGTGCTCTCCAAAATCTTTCCTTGAGGATGGTTGGAGGGTTTGAGAAATGCACTACTATAGTATTTGTAGCTGATTTGTATCTCTGTGACCAAACAAGGCCAAAGTTCTCCTCTGATTGCAGTTCATTGTGCTTCATTCTGATGGAGAGTAGAGTTCATTGGGTTTACTTCCCACTCTGCACAGAAAGAAGCCACATCTTGAAAACCATTTCATGTCAAGAAGTCATTTAGAACCTAAGAAAATACTTACAAATTGGCTCCTGGATCTTTGGTTCTGGAGTTGCTAGAGCTGCTGCTACTATTATTATTTTAAAAGCTATTTAGAGGAGGAAATTAAAGGCTTCTGACTGGGAAGTCACATGGAAATGAACTTCCCATTGTAAGCAGCATTGTGCGAAACTCAACCCCTGGGAATAAAGCCCAGGACAATATAAATTATTAGCAAGTACCAAAAAGGGTGGGAAA